AGGAACTTATCTCAAAATTATAAAAGCCATATATGACAAATCCACAGCCAGCATTCTACTGAATGGGGAAAAGTCGAAAGCATTTGCCCTAAGAACTGGAGCAAGACAAGGGTGCCCACTGTCTTAACTTCTATTCAATATGGTGCTGGAAATCCTAGCCAGAGTAATAAGGCAAGAGAAGGAAAGAAAGGGTATCCAAAAGATGAAAAAGGAGGTCAAACTATTGCTCTTCACTGATAATATGATCTTGTATATAGAAAACCCCAAAGACTGCAGCGAGAGATTCCTGAATTTGATAAATTCAGCAAAGTCTCATCTTACAAAATCAATGTACACAAATCAGTAGCATTTCGACATACCAATCTCAGCCAAGCTGAGAGTCAAATGAAAGATTCAGTACCACTCACAATAGCTACAAAGAAAATAAAATGTCTAGGAATATACTTAACCAAAAAAGTGAAAGATATCTACAAGAAGAACTAGAAACCACTGAGGAAAGAAATTTCACATGACACAAACAAATGGAAAAACATATCATGCTCATGGATCAGTAGAATCAACATTGTTAAAATGTTCATACTACCCAAAGTGATTTACAGACTTAATGTGATCCCCATCAAAATACCAATGTCATGTTTCACAGATCTAGAAAAATAATTCTGTTCTTTGTTTAGAATCAGAAAAGAGCTCAAATAGCTAAAGCAATCTTAAACAAAAAGAACAAATCTGAAGGTATCACATTACTAGACTTCAAATTATGCTACAAGGCTATAGTATCCAAAACAGCATATTATTGGTATAAAAATAGAGACATAGACCAATGGAACATAATAAAGAACCCAGATATAAAACCATCTACCTACAGCCAAATGATCTTTGACAAGGCAGACAACAACGTACACTGGGGAAAAGAAGCCCTATTCATTGAATGATTCTGGGAAAATTGCATAGCTGCATGCAGAAGAATGAAACAGGACCCCTATCTCTCACCACTCAAAAAAATTAATTCAAGATGGATAGAAGACTTTAAGGCATGAAACCATAAGAATTCTAGAAGTAAATGTAAGAAAAACTCTTCTAGCTGTCTGCTTAGGCAAAGAATTTATCATTAAGACTCTGTAATGGCAGCTACAGCAACATCAAAAATAAATAAATGAGACTTCATTGAATTAAAAAGCTTCGCACCACTACGGACATAATCAACAGCAAATAGACAAACTACAGAATGGGAGAAAGTATTTGTGCACTATACATCCAATCAAGGGCTAATATCCAGAATCTATACAGAACTCAAGCAAATCAGCAAGAAAAAAAAACAACCCCATTAAAAAGTGGGCAAAAGACATGAACAGAAGTTTTTCAAAAGAAGATAGTCAACTGGCCAAAAAATATGAAAAAGTGCTCAGTGTCACTAATCATCAGGGAAATGCAAATTAAAATCACAATGAAATATCACCTTACCCCTGTTAGAATGACTTTTATTAAAAAGTCCAAAAAACAGAAGACGACATACATGCAGACAGAAAGGAATGTTTATACAGTGTTGGGGGGGACTGCAGTAATTATTAGTACAACCTCTGTGGAAAACAGTATGGAGATTTCTCAAAGAACTAAAAGTAGACCTACCATTCAATCCAGCAGTCTCACTACTGGGTATCTACCTAAAGGAAAAGAAGTCATTTTATAAAAAAGATACCTGTACTCAAATATTTATTGCAGCACAATTCATAATTCCAAAGGTATGGAATCCTCAAGTGCCCATCAATTCACGAGTGGATTAACAAAATGTGGTATATGTATACCACTGAGTACTACTCAGCTATAAAAAGGGATGAATTAATGTCTTTTGCAGCAGTTTGGATAGAACCAGAGATGATTATCCTGAGTGAAGTATCTCAAGAATGGAATAATAAACACTACATGTGCTCTCTCATAAATTGTAACTAAGCGATGAACACACATGTGCACAGAGGGAAGTAAAACTTATTGGAAATCAAGCAAGGGGGAGGGAGGATGAGGGGAGAGAGAAAAACCTACCTAATGTGTACAGTGAACACTATTCTGGTGATGGGCATACTTACAGCTTTGACTCAAGTATTACAAAAGCTATCCATGAAGGAGGGAGGAGGGGACAGGTATATGCATACACAAAGAGTTCAATGCGTACCACTCGAAGGATGGACATATTTGAAACTCGGACTTGGCGGGGGGAGGCAAGGGCAACATACGTAACCTAAACATCTGTACCCCCATAATATGCTGAAATTAAAAAAAAAAAAGCTATCCATGTAACAAAAACATTTGTACCCCCTTAATATTTAGAAACAACTTAAAAAAAGAAAAAGAAACCCCCAATAAACACACAAAAAATAGCTGAGACTGGGTAATTTATAAAGAATAGAAATTTATTTCTCACCCTTTTGGATGCTGAGGAGTCCAAGATCAAGGCCCCAGCAGGTTTGGTTGTCTTGTGAGAGATGCTCACTACTTCTAATATGGCACCATGATGATACATCTTCCAAAGGGGAGTAACACTATGTTCTCATGTACAGAAGGGCAAGAGAGCCTTAATCACATTCCTAAGGAGCCCTCATGGCCTAATTATCTCTTATGGGCCCCACCACTTAATACTACCACATTGGCCATTAAATTTCAACACCTGAATTTTGGAGACACATTCAAACCACAGCAATGCCCATTTGCATTTCTGGATTGCCAGCCTCTTTAACTGCAAATCTGAAAAAATGAGGCAACTTTTTCTCTCTGCTTTTTAGAGTCACCTTATGTTTGCTTTGTATATACTTCAAAGGGATTTTATTTGCACACAAAGGGAATAATAGGGAAAAGTACATCTATTGCATCTTCCCAAAAACAAACGTTTGCATTACTTAAATATTCATATATTGTATTTTCATTTTTGTTCAGTGCAAATTATTTTCTGATTTCCCATGTGGTTTCTTCTTTGATCCATTGGCTATTTAGAATTGTATTTTTTAATTTCCAAATACATAGAAATTTCCCGGATTTCCTTCTGGTTTTGATTTCTGTAACTTTTTTTTTTCCCCACATCCTCCTATATACTTTTAAAAATGTAATTTGTAATAGTAACAATTGTATAGTATAGACCTGCCTAAGATGAAAGAAGCAATTTTATGCACCAGCATTCTCTATATTCTCACTGACTCTTCAGAAGCACTCTTGTTTTTAATTTATTCTAATGGTTATCTCTGTAAATCTTGTGTAAATACAAAAATCAAAGAAAAATCTATTTCTTGTATTGTCAGCTTCAGTTAATGTGATTTATTCTGTATCTATAACAGGATTTAGATTATTTAAATAAGATGAAGATTTAGCTTACTATACTAGCCTCTTTTTCCCAGTGTTTGATAATTATTATTATTTATTGTTATTTTTGGATCTTTATGTAGTAAAGTTCTCTATTTCATTAATTTTCAATGGTATGGTCACTGAGGCCTCAACTATTTGTTTTATTTTTACTTATTCTATAATATTTACTGAAAAATTAGTAAGCACATTTTTCAAATTCTTTTTTGTTATAAAAAATAATTATGATAATGTAGTTCAATTGTTTTTAAAACTTGATAGCATTATAAATGATAGGCAACAAGGAGTTGTTCTCAGTCTTTTTACATTACATAGATACAAAATTGAGAAGATGTAGATTTACTGTCAACCCTATATATTAAAGAGTACTATAATGTTTAATTGTATGTTCATACTTTTTGTGTTTATGAGGAAATTAATTTCTCATCTAAAGCTAAAAATGTAAGCTTAGCAATATGTTTTGAAAAGGTAAAAGCATTTCATGCTTACTGTATGCCAGCACTATATATATATATGTATATAAGCTCTTATCATACCCCCTCTTGCAAAATAGTTATTATTAAACTCATTCGAGAGATCAGGTGATTGAGGTTCAGAGGTTGAAGGATTACTTGAGTCCATAGACTCTGTGACTTACAGAGTCAGGATTTAAGTTCAATTGTGACTTCAAAGCCATGCTTTCCCTTCTATATCAAGCTACATCGAGAAAGGAATATAATTCTAGGTTTAACAATACATTTAATGTGGTATTTTTTTGTGTGTACATATGATAAATTTATAAGAATAGAAATTATATTTTAGCAGAATGATAGTTTTTTAAAATAAAGCGATAAAATAGTCAATCTACACTTACTGGCCATGGAAAGATGTTTATGATGTTTAGTGATGTATATTACATTAACATCTATAATATGTTCTCATTATGTAATATCAAGTAACTCTAGTTACACATTTTAAATGCCTAGGGAGATGACTAGAAGGATGACCATCTAAGTACTAAAAATGGTTAGCTGTGAATGGTTATTACTCGATCTTTTCAACTCTTTATTTTTTTACTTTTTTCCAAATGATCTCATATTATTTTTTCAAAATGTATAGTTATTTTTTAAAAATCTCTTGGACATGAGCATTATATTTGTAAATTTTTCTGTTTTTTTCTCTTGTCTTTGAACTTTTAAAAATGGATTGCAGATTGGAGAGAATTGGTTGATTAAATCTTCTGTTTGATCAAAGTTTTAATGGGCCCAGAAGCTATTTTATTCCATTCTATTTCAGTATTTTTAAATAATATAGTTCATACATTTTATGAAGAAAATAAATCCAAGGATCTAAATGAAATGTGAAATGTTTCTGTAAATCTTTGTATTTTTCTCTTAATTGCCATATTTTAATTATATACTTCTTAACTGACTTATAGTTACTATTAATATTATTTATAGTATAGTTTGCTATATATAAAATGTATATTTGATATATAGAAGCATTATATATATTTTTAAAATGGCTGATTCCTAAGTGAAATGATTTAAATTTGTCAAAGTTTATAATGTCAAAAGCAACCATCATATTATAAAATGGTATGGTATATTGGAATGATGGTTATTATGAAAAGAGGGTAATTTCTTCCATTATCTCTTTGTTTTTGTCTTTTTTAGGTAATCATAGCCTGCTGGTATCGCACATTCATGGGAATAATGAATTTATTTGGGCTAGAAACTAAGACCTGCTGGAATGTCACCAGAATAGAACCTCTGAATGAAGTACAAAGCTGTGAAGGCATGTTTCTTCCTGAAATGCTGCTGTGCTGTCATTAGTGTTTTCATAAACATTTGATAATGTTATGACTCATTTTAAGAATTATTATAAACTACTCTGATTTTTTTTTTAGAACCGATTAAGCCCAATGAGTATTTTACACTTTAGTTTTCTGAGAAGACTATGTAGTTATATATTTGAGTATAAATTTTGAATTTAATTTGAATATTAATATACTCCAATATAAGACAATCTTGAGAATAAGTCAGCCTTCTATTTCAGAGTGAGAAGATGCAAAAAAGATAAGATTTTTGGTAGCTTCAATATATAAATTGGGGGAATAGATTAAACAGTCAAATATCTACTTGTAATAGTTAATATATTAATTTAGTTATGCATACATATTTAAAAATCAGATATATAATAATAGATATTTGCATTTTAGCATTTTTTTGATGCTATCCCTTGAGACTCTTGTTTGAAGCCACATGTATCTACTTGCATAACCCTAACATAGTTGTTTTTTCATTTCTTCCAGTTCTTAGCATGACTACGTACTATATTTTATAAATATATTTTTACAGACTTGTTTATGATAACATTCAACTC